GAAACATGCTAAAAGTGTATTCAAACATGTTACAGACATGCTAGCAATATCTTAAAGCTTAGGTGTGTTAACATTTTAAAAACATGGGGAATGTTTACATGTTATAAATATTATTTGCTGTTGTACTCTCACATTGAGCTAAACATTTGTTGTTTTTTATTTTTTTTTATTTGTTGTGTTATTGTGTAACTGTCTACTAGAGGGAAGCAGTTAGCTAGTAAATGACATAGTAGAACTAAAACATGCTAGCAGTGTGTTACAAAATACGAGTGTGAAATTACGCCCCTGCTGAAAAATCCAGCGTAAACCAGCCTAGGCTGGTTGGCTGGTTTTAGCTGGTTGACCAGCCTGGTTTTAGAGGGGTTTTGGCCATTTCCAGGCTGGTTTCCAGCCATTTCCAGCCTGGTCTTAGCTGGTCAGGCTGGAAAATGACCAGCCAAATCCAGCTAAAACCAGCTTGACCAGCCTGGTTTAAGCTGGATATAGCTGGTTTTAGCTGGACTCCCAGCTTGGCTAGGCTGGTCAAGCTGGTTTTAGCTGCTCATCTCCCAGCCTGACCAGCTATAAACATGCTGGCAGTGTGTTAAACCATGCTGGTATGAAATTATGTTAGAAATATGTCAATTGTGTTCTGAAACAGGCTAGAAGTGTGTTCAAACATGTTATAAACATGCTAGCAATATCTTAAAACAACTTAGGGATGTTAACACTTTAAAAACCTGGGCAGTGTTTACATGATGTTATAAATATATTATTGTTTGCTGTAGGGCAACACGGTGAAGGTCACTGGTTTGAGTCCTGGCTGGGTCAGTTGGCATTTCTGTGTGGAGTTTGCATGTTCTCCCTGTTTTGGTGTGGGTTTCTTCCGGATTCTCCGGTTTCCCCCACAGTCCAAACACATGTGCTATAGGTGAATTAGATGAATTAAATTGGCCGCAGTGTATGGGTGCTTCCCAGTACTGGGTTGCAGATGGAAGGACATCTGCTGCATAAAGCTTAAGTTGGTGGTTCATTCCGCTGTGGTGACTCCTGATGAATAAAGGGAATTAGCTGAAGTAAATTGAATGAATGAATATTATTTGCTGTAACTCTCACATTAAGCTGAATATTAGGCGCTATTCTGTAACTGTCCACTAGAGGGCAGCAGTTAGTCAACTCAACACTAAGGTATGTGGTTTACCCACATTAATAAATACTATAGTATTTTTTGAAAACAATAGTGTTTTTAAATGATACTATAGTAAAAGTGTTTTATACTGTGTGTGTATATTATAGTATTTACAGCACTTTGTTATGAATGCTACAGCATACTTAACTACAGTGAACTGATAAACTGTAATAAATAGCTCGGTTTTTACTCTAGTATAGTGTAGAAAGCCACAGTATTGGTCATTTGTTTATATTAGATTACTAAAGATGTTATATTACCATTGCAACTAATAATACAGCCGGTTCATTAAAGGACTTTATTATGGTTCAAAACACTATAGTATTTGCTTTGAATTACTATAGTATTCTTTAATTTTTCCAGGACGTACTTAAGTTTTAAGTAGTTAAGTTTTTGTGATAACTACTTAAAATAATTAGTGATTTACATAAATAATAACAAAATATATTGCTGAAAACTAAAGTAAAAATGAGAATAAAACAAAACAATAATTCAATAATTACTGCACACAGCCAGAGTTAAAAAAGAAAGAGTTTGATTTATTTGTTTATTTTTTACAATATATAATCATGCAAATTATGTATGAATACGTTGTTAAAGCATTTCTGAATATATATATATATATATATATATATATATATATATATATGTATATGTGTGTGTGTGTGTGTGTGTGTGTGTGTATATACAGTTGAAACTAGAAGTTTACATACACTAATAAAAGGAACATAAATAATTATAGTTTTTTTAATTGTCTGGTGTTAAATCATACAAAACATTGACTATTTTAGGTCCGTTAGGATTACGTAAATGATTTACATTTGCTAAACGCCAGAATAATGAGAGTAAATAAATACATTATAATAATAAAAAATAAAAAACAGTCCTTAGTATTTTTTTAGCTTTGCTTTTACTGTATAACTTTGGCCCATTCTGACAGAATTGGTGTAACTGAGTCAGATTTGATGGCTGTCTTGCTCGCACAAGCTTTTTCAACTCTGCCCACAAGTTTTCTATAGGATTGAGATAAGGGCTTTGTGATGGCCACTCCAAAACATTCACTATGTTGTCCTTAAAGCACATTTTAACTAGTTTGGCAGTATGCTTAGGGTCATGGTCCGTTTGCAAGACCCATTTATGGCCAAGTTTTAATTTCCTGGCTGATGTCTTGAGATGTAGCTTCAGTATTTCTACATAATGTTCTTTCTTCATGATGCCATCTATGCTGTGAAGTGGAGCAGTCCTTCCTGCAGCAAAACAGCCCCACAACATGATGCTGTCCCCATACTTCACAGTTGGGATGGTGTTCCTAGGCTTGTCAGCTTTCCCCTTTGTCCTCCAAATGTAACACTGGTCATTATGGCCAAACAGTTCAATCTTAGCTCCATCAGACCACAGGACATGTCTCCAGAAATTATTATTTTCCAATGTAATTCAGCAAATTATAATCTGGCTTTGTTGTTGATTCTGACTTGTTGATTTTTCCATGTTGTTACACAAGCAAGCAGCGTGTTTGAGGTTTTCCTTAAATACTATTCTACAGTTGAGCCTCCAATTAACTCAAATGTTGTTAATTAACCAATCAGAAACTTCCAAAACCTGGACACCATCATTCAGAGGCAGAATAATCTTATTGTATGTAAACTTGACTTTCAAGTAAAGTTATAACAATTTCTCAAAATCTCTCTCTCATTATTCTGCTATTAAGCAGAACAGAAACAAACTTGATAATCCTAACTTACCTAAAAGAGGAAAGGTTTAGTCACATTAACATCTGACTCTTTTTAAATGGGTATGTGCCTTTTTATACAGTGTATGTAAACCTCTGGTTTCAACTATATATATATATTTATATATATATATATATATATATATATATATATATATATATATATATATATATATATGAGCAATATCACACGAGTAGCAGTGCGATATGGCTGTATATCGGCACTGGTGGGAGGTATGCCTTAGTCCCCCCACCAGTGCGATATACAGCCATATCGCACTGCTACGAGTGTGATATTGCGTTTATACAACAGTTTGACGGCATAATTGTGTATATAAAAACAAAATCAAACACGGAAAGTCTTAAAAACCCTTGTGTATGAGGAACTACTTTCTTCCGGATTCAAATCATAAGCTGACAGTTAAACACCTGAGCAAGCATCTTTTAAACTTTAGATCTGTAGTGTCTGCTTGTTGCTGGCTGTATGTGGGCGGAGTAATACACAATGGGTAAAGAGGCTGTACGGGTGCTGATATTACTTAAATATATCACGGCTATCAGCCAATCAGATTCGAGAACCAGACAGAACTGTTGTATACATATATACATACACACACACACATAAACAGTGCTCAGCATATATAAGCACACCCCTCACAAATCTCTCTTTTGAATTCATATTTTGAAAAGGAAGCCATACAATATAATATTTATGCATATACATTAGATAAGTCAGTACTGAAGCATAATCTGGAGCTTATCTAACAAAATAACTTACAATCCAAAAACTAGTACAGCCAAAATTACATTTTATAGAAAAATATTTAATACAAATTAAAAAAGGGAAAAATCAAGAGAAGCAAAAAGGGGAAAATTTAGTTAGAAATTTTGTAGGTTGTAATTTATTTTTTCAATATTTTGCTTGAATTTAATTGTTTAATTTTCAAACTTTTAAATATGTTTGGAGACTAAAATACTATTTTAATAAATATATATGTTCAGGAAATCTGTTTTGTTTAATTGCACCAAAATACATCGCCTATATTCACTGAGAAATAGAAAACAATATTCATTTTGAAAATGGGCTGTACTCTATTATATGAATAAAACTGATAGTGAAGTGGAGATTTACAGGACAGTGCATGAGAATTGAGTAAACAGACTTTAAAAATATGCGCTGTAGTAGAAATCTACAGACACAAATTGATTGTGCAGCAAAATAATATCGTTTAAACTAATTAAAATTATAATGAATTGAAATAGTATTTATATTTAAAGCTTCATAAATATGTCAATAAAGCTTTCATGATGGTTTATTTCAGTTCTAGCAACTGTTTTGTAGATTTGCCTGCAAAATTCTAGCTGAAACAAAATTAGCATATTCATTTGTCAATGCAAAATGTTTCTTTATTTAACATTTTTCTACATTAATTTGACAGCTGAGTCCATGTGTTTGAGCTTCTCAGCTGTATTTAGACACTGATATAGTTCACAAGTGTATTATTGATATCAATATTGTTAATATGCTGCTAATGTTGTCATATTAATAATTCATATCAATAATCATTGCTATTAATGATTAGCAAATGCTGTGAATTTGTTTCAAATCTGTTCATGCAGTTAAATTTGACAGAAGGGTGAATAATTTTGCCTGTAGTTGAATGTATGATGATTATTTTACATGATGAATTCATATTATTGCCATTGTTGTATTTTACCTTAGTATGTTTAACACACTTTGAGATGTACCTTTAAAAGAGACCTATTATGCCCCTTTTTATAAGATGCTAAATAAGTGTCTGATTTCTCTAGAGTCTGCGTGTGAAGTGTCAGTTTAAAATAGCACACAGATAATGTTTTATAACCCTCTCAAACTGACTCTTTCAGGCTTTGATCCCAATTGTGATGTCTTGGTGACTGTCACTTTAAATTCAAATGAGATTGTGCTCTTTTCAAAAGAGGGCAGAGCTATAAATGCCTGTGTGTCAGCATAGTGGCATATTCAATAACAAGACCAACATCCTATGCTAATGAGGGAGAGATGGTCACAAGTGGGCGGAGCTTTCCCCACCTGATACAAATGATGTCAATCAAACTGTTCCGGCAGACTGTTTATATTTAAAGTGTGATTATACACAAATACAATTAATACATTTTAGCCATCAGACGCTGGATATATTCACAGACCTCTGCCACAGAACCATGTTTAAACCCCTTATAAAAGAGATTTATGCATAATAGGCCCCCTTTAAAGGTACTATAGAGAATAAAGATGATGATGATGATGATGATGAAGAGTGTGTAGATCTTCATCTCAGAGCTCCGCCCAGTTTGTCCAGCAGTTTCAGGCCCTTCTCCTCATACTCGGCTCTGGAGAGCCAGAAAGACTCTTTGTCCTTCATGATGTTGGCCAGCACTGCTCCACCCATGAACACCATGTGTTTGCGCCGCGGAGGATCTTCAATGCGGATCTTAAACTTCTGCCGGGAGAGAACGAGAAGAGTGAACACAACACGTCAGTACGACTCATTTATTTGACATTTGCAATAGTTATTAGTCAGACTTATTAGGCCCCCTGAATATTTTCCCACAATTTCTGTTGAATTGTTTCAGCGCATTTCTAAACATGATAGTTTTAATAACTCATTTCTAATAGCTGATTTATTTGATCTTTGCCATTATCTTTGACTAGATATTTTTTAAGATACTAGTATTTGGCTTAAAGTGACATTTAAAGGCTTAACTAAGTTAATTAGGGTAATTAGGCAAGTCATTGTATAACTCACAGCTGAAGGGGGCTAATAATTTCGACCTTAAAATTGTTTTTAAAAATTGAAAACTGCTTTCATTCTAGCTGACGCAAAACAAATAAGAACCCATACCAACACGGGGAGAACATGCAAACTCCACACAGAAATGCCAACTGACCCAGCCGGGACTCAAACCTGTGACCTTCTTGCTGTGAGGCGACCGTATCGCCTTAAAAAACTTAAATTAATGTAAACTATCACGTTACAGAATGTGTGAATAGATTTTTCCAGAATAAGCAGACAGATGTATTGGCTTTAGCCTGTTGTCTTACTGATAGTTTTTCAGTGTCTCCTTTCAGCACTCGCTCCAGGTAAAGCTGCTTGATCTCACGCTCCAGACGGGACGGCAGACCTGGATACATGGTGGATCCTCCAGACAGGACGATGTGCTTGTACAAATCAGCCCTGCAGAAAATCACAAGATCAGTCTGATCATTACAGGTGGAAAAATGTTCACATCTGCACTCAAGCATCAAGGTGCATGGCTAGAAGAAACATTTTCACAGTGATGTCAAAGAGCAGTGGTTCCCAATGTTGTTTATTTATTTATTTACTTCAAATTTAACTGTAAAAAACAATTAGGTACTCTAGTTTAAAATGTGCTTAAACCCTTTGTAAATTGGAACTGTTAAGTTAATTTCACATAATTTTTTACCATTACAAACAGTTCATTTATTGTTGCAACAAATTTGCTGACTTTTATTAAGTAAAGTCAACTAATCGCTTTAAAGGCAACAAGTTTACTGACTTTTATTAAGTAAAGTCAACTAATCGCTTTAAAGGCAACAAGTTTACTGACTTTTATTAAGTGAAGTCAACTAATCGCTTTAAAGGCAACAAGTTTACTCACCTTTATTAAGTGAAGTCAACTAATCGCTTTAAAAGCAACAAGTTTACTCACCTTTATTAAGTAAAGTCAACTAATCGCTTTAAAACCAACAAGTTTACTTACTTTTATTAAGTAAGGTCAACTAATCGCTTTAAAACCAACAAGTTTACTTACTTTTATTAAGTAAAGTCAACTAATCACTTTAAAAGCAACAAGTTTAAGCACTTTAATTGAGTAAAGTCAACTAATAACTTTAAAACCAACAAGTTTACTCACTTTTATTAAGTAAAGTCAACTAATCACTTTAAAAGCAACAAGTTTAAGCACTTTAATTGAGTAAAGTCAACTAATAACTTTAAAACCAACAAGTTTACTCACTTTTATTAAGTAAAGTCAACTAATCGCTTTAAAACCAACAAGTTTACTCACTTTTATTAAGTAAAGTCAACTAATCGCTTTAAAAGCAACAAGTTTACTCACCTTCATTAAGTAAAGTCAACTAATCGCTTTAAAAGCAACAAGTTTACTCACTTTTATTAAGTAAAGTCAACTAATCGCTTTTAAAGCATCAAGTTTACTCACTTTTATTAAGAAAAGTCAACTAATCGCTTTAAAAGCATCAAGTTTACTCACTTTTATTAAGAAAAGTCAACTAATCGCTTTAAAAGCATCAAGTTTACTCACTTTTATTAAGAAAAGTCAACTAATCGCTTTAAAACCAACAAGTTTACTCACTTTTATTAAGTAAAGTCAACTAATCGCTTTAAAACCAACAAGTTTACTCACCTTTATTAAGTAAAGTCAACTAATCACTTTAAAAGCATCAAGTTTACTCACTTTTATTAAGTAAAGTCAACTAATCGCTTTAAAAGCAACAAATTTACTCACCTTTATTAAGTAAAGTCAACTAATCGCTTTAAAAGCATCAAGTTTACTCACTTTTATTAAGAAAAGTCAACTAATCGCTTTAAAACCAACAAGTTTACTCACTTTTATTAAGTAAAGTCAACTAATCGCTTTAAAACCAACAAATTTACTCACCTTTATTAAGTAAAGTCAACTAATCACTTTAAAAGCATCAAGTTTACTCACTTTTATTAAGTAAAGTCAACTAATCGCTTTAAAAGCAACAAATTTACTCACCTTTATTAAGTAAAGTCAACTAATCGCTTTAAAAGCAACAAGTTTACTCACCTTTATTAAGTAAAGTCAACTAATGGCTTTAAAATCAGCGAGTTTCAATGATCAGCTATTCACTTAAAACGCTTTTATAGCCGGCAGCTAGCTCTCTGCAACTCTCAAAGGGTCGCCCACTGAAGCTAAACTGGGTTGCGCCCGGTCAGTATCTGGATGGGAGAACACATGGGAAAGCTAGGTTGCTGCTGGAAGTGGTGTTAGTGAGGCCAGCAGGGGGCGCCTATCCTGTGGTCTGTGTGGGTTCTAATGCCTCTGTACATCGATGAGGATATACTGCTCAAAGCCGACTAATTACTTTAAAAGCAACAAGTTTACTCCGTTTTGCAGAGTTTAGTCAACTAATCACTTTAAAAGCAATCAGTTTACTCACTTTTTATAAGTGAATCCAACTAATCGCTTTAAAGTCAAAAAGTTTACTCACTTTTCAAAGCAAAGTCAACTAATCCCTTTAAAAAGCAACGAGTTTACTCACTTTTTCTAGAAGTAGAGACTGCAAGCTTTATCTGTTAAATTTTTAATGTCTGTGAGGCAAGTTTGCGTTTGTAGTCCCTATATGATTCATAACCATAAACCATAACCATAAAGTCATAAAACACATGAGTCTATAGCGATTATTGATTGGTTTCTTTTCTTGAGGGCGGGGCTTCCTTCGCTAGAGTGTCCATATTGACCATAAAATGTTTTCCCCTTCAAATCTATATGAGTGACATGTCTTGAATGTTCTACAGTACCCTCACTCCTGGTTAGCTGCCAGTATGTTTTAAAACTCCAAAAGTCAAAAGTGTTCAGATATTGTGGATTGCACCTTAAATTGGCACTGAAGGTGAATTATCCAGACCTGAGGTCAATGTCTGCTGCCTGGATGGTGTTAAAGAGCAGCTCTGCCACTCCGACTCCCTCCACATTAACGAGGTGCGGCTGGAAAAGAGCCTCCGGAGCCCCGAACCTCTCACCTCCAACCCTTATCATCCGCCCATCTGGTAACTGTGAGTGAGAAATCAGTAGCTTATTTTAAATCTTGTACAAAGGGGGCATAATAGGTCCAATTTAACAGTTTTTACATATTTATAGTACTGTGCAAAAGTCTTAGACCCCCAGTGGCATTTGCTGTTTTAGTGAGGGTTTAATGACATTATATATTGCTTATTAATATTAAAATACAACCAGAAAATACAGCTTTTAGTTGGGTTATTTTGGTGCAATTGTTAAAGACTCAGAAAGAAAGAGTGAAGAGAAAGATGAAAGCAAGAGTGAAGACAATACTGGAGTTCCTGCCTTGGTTTGATCTGCACTTCTGCTAGAGCTGTTGACAATATTTCCTGAATTGATGGGATTGAGAATGCTGAAGAGTTCAGACAGATTTTAATTCGTCATGTAACTCCTATTAGAAATCACCTAATTTGTAATAGTTTTACAACCCCAAATCAGAAAAAGTTGGGAAACTATGGAAAACGCAAATAAAAAAAAGAAATAAGTCATTTCTACATTTACTTTTACTTGCATTTCATTGCAGACAATACAACCACTCATTCCCTATTGTATACAGGTCGGGACTGCAGGCAGGCTGGTCGAGTACCTGTATCCTCTTCAGTCAGGACTGTAATGTGTGCAGAATGTGGTTTAGCATTGTCTTGTTGAAATATGCACGGGTGTCCCTAGAAATGAAGGCAGCATATTGTGCTCCAAAATCTCGATGGACTTTTCAGCATTAATGGTGCAGCACAGAAGTGTAAGTTAACTTTGCACTGACACAGCCCTGTACCACAACAGAGCATGGCTTTTGGATTTGTTGCTGGTAACACCATGATCCTGTTTTTCTTTGGTCCGGAGCACATAGTGTCCATTTCTCCCCAAAAAATATCTGAAATACTGATTCATCTGACCACAGTAGACATTTCCACTGTGTGATGGTCCATCCAAGATGCCTCAGAGCCCAGAGAATTTGATGGTGCTTCTGGACACTGTTAACATAGGGCTTCCTTTTGGCACAGTACAGTTTTAACTGGCATTTGTGGATGTAACTATGTATTTTGGTACTTGACAAAGGTTTGCCAAAGTAGTTCATGTGGTGACATTGCTTATAGATGAATGAGGGTCCTAGATGCAGTGCCGCCTGGGGGATCAGAGATCACGTTGTTCAGCTTAGGCTTGTACCCTTGTCTTTTACCGTTTGCGCACAAACATTTGTCTAATTTGGGGTTGTATTTTTCAGCGCGATAATGATGCCAAAAACACTGCTAATGTAAATAAATCGAATTTGAAAAGGAAACACAGCTCATGAAGTGGCCTTCACACAGTCCAGACCTAAATACTATATACACTCTTAGAAATAAAGGTACCACACACGTTTCAGGCACACACAATCTAGCCAACTCAATCTCACGGCAATTCGTAACTTTTTCATTTAGTGGCTAATTCGTACAAATTTGTACGATCTAATTCATACATTTTAGTACAATTTGCGTATCCCCCAATGACGGTTGGGTTTAGGGGTGGGGTTAGGTGCCACGCCTCCTTTTTAAAATCGTACAATTTCTTACGACTGAACTCGTACGAATTCGTGAGAATTAGCCACTAAACTGCCAAAACGTAAAATACTTACGTTTTCTCGTGAAATCAGGCTGATCTAGCACACACGATATAGGCAAACCATATATGGTAACTAACTAACTCCTTAGTAGCATTATCGCCACCTATTGAATTTCACAAATATGGTTTCCCATTTCAGTCATTATTATTTTTATATCGTAACGATCATTTTAACATCTCTGCCGTTTCTGAACTCAAATTATGTAAATAAAAGTAATTGGTTAAAGACACTTATCATTTTATTCACATGTCCACATAAACAAAGAAAACATAATAGACCGTCTAATTGTAGGATTAAGTGTAGTAAACTAATTCAGGATCTTAATCTTATCATACTTGGTTAAAATCACTTTGTTGTAAAAAGAAAAAGCAATCAATAATGTGTCACATTAAAAATATTTTTTATATTTAATCATTTAAACAATATATAATATAGCTTTAAATTGATTATCTTAACTGATTAACTGATTTTAAACAGCTATTATTTAATAAACTGTCACAGCTATGTGTATATATATATATATATAAATAAATATATATATATATATATATATATATATATATATATATATATATATATATATATATATATATATATATATATATATACTTATTATTATTTTTTGATTAATTATTAATAGTTAATTTGTTTCTATTGCAAATTTTTGGTTTAAAAGCAATATATTCAACCCGGACTCATTGTGGAAACGTAGCCCCGCGGACGTTTCTGCGGACAGCGATTTACGTCTCGGGAGGTACGTATTCGAGCGTTTTTTGTTTTTGCGGATTCGCGAGAGGCCGCTGTGCGCCTGTGTGCTTCTCACTCAGGCGAGCCGTCGGCTGGCGAGCGCAAAGAGGAGGGGCGGAGCGGCACCACACCGCCCCGCAGCATTCGCTCGAAAAAAAACTAAACGCGGCCTTACGTACCTCCGGCCACGTAAATCGCGGCCTCCAGAAACGTCCGCGGGGCTACGTTTCCAGAATGAGCTTGGGTTAAATATATTGCTTACTTTACTACAATATTAAATCGCTACTTAAAGTTATTAGAAAATTTAGCAAATATACACTATTAAATCGCTGGAGTAAAATATTAATATCGTGTTATACATTTATTACATGTATAAAAAATTTATTACATATAAAATGTATTATTGCCTACATTAACTTGCTATTATTCCCTTCATTATAAATGAATCCATTATATAAATTAAACCTGTCCAATTTAGATCGTTCAGCAAGGCCAGCAAATGAGTATCTGCTAAAATGACTCTGTCAGATAATAATGACTGATCATCTATAATGACTGATAGAAAACTGTTCAGTCTAGTAAACAACGCTCCCAATTCGCCCGTCTCGATCACAATTTTGGTGAAATAAAGTAAAGTGAACACTATAGTTTATTGAGTAAAATATATATCAAATATATCGATGACAATGTCCTAGAAGACGTTAATAACATTAACATCCGTCGTAATCATATGTGGTTTGCCTAGATTGTGTGTGCCAGATTGTGTGCCTAAAACGTGAGTGGTTCTGCGGGCCTGCAGCTGGATATTCACACGAGCTGTCACTGGGGTGGAACCTTTTCAAAAGGTGCAAATTTGTGCCTAAAACTCCATATTAATACCTAAAATGTACATATTAGGTAGGTAGGTACTAATATATATTAGGTATTAGGTAGGTAGGTACTAATATACACTTTTTTTTTTTTTTTTATTAGAATATGCAAAAATCATACAAATACAAGAAAACATCAACAGATAACAAATACAAAGCAACAAAACAAAACAAAAACATCAACAATATAGTCAGGTACTGGTATGTGCGTGAGTGTGTGTGTGTGAGTGTGTGTATGCATGTAAAGGTAACTTGGTGGACAGGTCAGGGTACATACATAAGGAATAATAACTGTCAATAAATGAAGCAAGTGTCACAGATATAGATAAAACATATAGAAAGAAACCAGTCAGAGGTAGGGAGTAACAACAATGCTTATTAATGTATGATAGTAAATATGAGAGTAAAAAGAGAGAAAGGACAACAGTAATAACTGACAACAATTATAATAAATCACAAGTGCTACACCAACTACTACTACAGAAAGTTACTTGTATAACAACTACTACTGCTTCTACTACAGCCACAACCACGACTACTACTACTAAAGTGTCTACTAATACTGATACTACTACAACGACTACCACTACAATGTCTACTGCGACTACTACTACTACTACTACTACAATCACTTCTACTACATCTACATCAACAACATCTACTACTGATATTACTACCAACAACGACTACTACTACTACTGTAACTACCACACCATTACTACTTCTGCTACTACTATACCAATGACATCTACTACTACATGAACTACAACTTCTATAATCTCCGTAACAATTACTCAATAACAATCGATACTATTACAATGACTACTACTTCAACTACTACCAATATACACTTTTGAGATACCAATATGGACCAAATTTTGAGGTACAAATGTGTACCTTTTGAAAGGGTACCACCCCAGTGACAGCTTGCATACCTTTATTTCTACATTTACATTTACATTTAGTCATTTAGCAGACACTTTTATCCAAAGCGACTTACAAATGAAAGTTATTAGAGAGTGTACAGTATGTATAGACAATATTAGAGACAGAATGAGATTCAGCTAGAGAGAGAAAGATAGACAGAGCATGCTAAATCTAAGAAAGAACTTCTAGACATGCTGACAGATTCTTGATATTAAATAGTACGTAATTTCAGAAAAGACTCAACAAAAAAGTTGGTGCTAAAGAGGGTCACAATAAACAGACTTTTCATGCGGGTCTTTTGAATCCAAAAATACTTTTGTTCTGATTGTTGTCTACATATTTCCCATATTTTCTCTTTGTAAATTAAGGGTTTAGTTCACCCAAAAGTAAACTTCACTATCATGCATTCTAGACAGATAGGTTTGTGCAAAGGTCTTAGCCTCCCGAGGCTGGTGGTAGACTTGTACAGGAGGGCCAATCATTTTGTCTTTAACTCTACCAGGTGTAACTATGACCTCCTAATCAACTGTAAGGGTAACTGGGGTTTATAAACTGTGTGTTTACCATGTAGGACTCCACCAGGACTGTGGTCTCATTGGCCAGTTGCTGTTCCTGCTCAATGTTGTAGCCGACAAAACACAGCTTCTCCTTCATCATCCGCACCGTCTCGAAGTCCGCCGTGTGGTTGAAGGCGTAGCCGCGCAGGAGCAAAAGCTGCACAAATCAAACAACAACAACTCAAGAGGTCTTGCTTATGGTCTTTTTTAGAGCAGTCAGTCATTTATAATTGGTTATGCTAAACCTAAATTGCATATTTTGATTTATTTTAAAGGAATAGTTCACACAAGAATGAATTTTCTGCCATTATTTACTCAGCGGGGTCAGCTAAATATTTTACTTATCTCACAGGCAGATGTTACCGCATCTTTAAGACAAGAAAACCGTATTGTTTTGTTTTCAGGAAAAAAAAAGCCAAAATTAAGCAACTTTCTGTTTAAAGCAAGTAAAACAACTACTTAAAGGGGTGTGCATAAGACTGTCGTTAAACTTAATTTCTCATTCACATTCATGACACGTGATCATGATTATTAATGCATGCTTATAACAGCTGTTAAATCTCATTTGCTCAGTTATGTTTTTGAATGCAAAGATGACATTGTTTGTTGTGAAAACTAGACATAAACAAACATCACAAGCTGTTTTTGTCTTTGTCATGACATATAAAACAAAACTTGTCATAAATCTGACATAGTATAGGCAATATTACTTATAAAGTTTAACAAACAGTTTGTTCCTCTGAAAAATGTGATGAACACCCCCTTTAAGTAAAAATGCTTTTTTATTTAAAAATTTGTAAACATTTAGACAAGGCAAAACCTCTAAGTAGGATTTTTTTATTTTTTTATTTTTTGCATTATAGGCTATGCAGAAGCTGTAACTTTACACATTGCACACTGTCTATGCTGTGAAAAGAAGGGTCACCTTGATCAGGTAGCGAGTGATGTCCCGTCCTGCGATGTCCAGCCGGCGCGTGAGATGCGGGAGAGAGAAACCCTCATAAACGGGACAGATGTGTGTCACTCCGTCTCCTGAGTCGATCACCACACCGGTCAACAAACCTGACACACAAACACAGAGCAGGTCAGAGATGCTTGATGTTTCCCATTATTAAAGGGGACCTATCATGCACCTTTATACAAAATGTAAAATAAGTCTCTAATGTCCTTGTGTGTGTGTGTGTGTGTGTGTGTGTGTGTGTGTGTGTGTGTGTGTGTGTGTGTGTGTGTGTGTGTGTGTGTCTGTGTGTCTGTGTGTCTGTGTGTGTGTGTATTTCAGCTCAAATTACCACACAGACACTTTTTTATGACTCTCAAAACTGACTCTTTTAGGCTTTAAACCTAATTGTGTCATTTTAGTTACTGTTGCTTTAAATTTAAATGAGATTGAGTTGTTTTTAGAAGAGGGCGGAGCTACAAATGCCTGTGTGTCAGCATAGTGGCAGATTTAATGCAGGATGTTATCTGTGTGGAAAAAGTGAACAGAAGTGTGTGAGAATGTGTCAGTCTATGGAGACTCCTGTCACTGTTTATTTGTGCTTTAACTCCACATTTATAATCCTCTTTGTCTAATGCTGACATTATCTTCAGTAGCTCAACACTAATTGCAGACGGTTGCTTCTCACTCAGGGCCGTTTATGTTAATGATAACACTAATAGGTGGGCCTTTCCCCCTCTGATGACACGTACAAAGGGAGTGTGTCAAAGTCAAATGCTAAAGTGTTTCTGCAGATTTTTTAAATCAAGTTTAAAAAAAATTGAAGGGAATTAATTAAGTTGAAAACAATTAAATTAAAATTTCAACCCAGGCTCGTTCTGAAAACGTAGTCCCTTGGACGTTTCTGGAGACCGCAAAATACATCCCGGGAGGTATGTATTTGTGCAGTTTTTGTTTTTCACGAATCCGTGAGAGGCCTATGTGCTCACTTTTTCGCATGTCGAACATCTCTCGCGAGCGCCATTCACGCCCTCGCTGTTCTCGCGTAAACCCATAAAAGGCCGCTGTCGAGCGACCGTCCGTCCGACTGGCTAAATGATTGACTATGCAACCGGCCAATAGGCCGACCCACCCTCCTCCTCCTTCCCTAAACCCAAGCAGTTTTACCGATTGACCCGCCCGCCCGCTTACTTCCCTAAAACCAACCAACAATTTACACAAAAAAGCCGTCTAGAAAAAGAAAAGCCCTCTTCTGATTTTTACCACGTTTTTGGATTTCACCACATTCTCAGTCTGTTATTCACTGGTTCACTTTACTTTTTGGATTCTGTTTTTGTCTTACCTGATTTCTGGAACCGTTCTTCCCCAGACTCAAACCCGGTCGTCGTCGCTACCTGGACAAACTCATTACGGTGGGAAAGCCCTCCACACTGAGGTAAGTGGTCAGCCGGCAAGCGCGGAAGAGAACGACGTCACACCGCCCCAAATCGTTAGCTTAAAAAAATGAAATGCACCCATGCGTACCTCCAGCTACATAATTCGCGGTCTCCAGAAACGTCCGCAGGACTACGTTTTCAGAATGAGCCTCGGTTGTAAAATTTCCAGTTGAAAGTTAGTATTGCGAAAATGATTTTAAAAATAAACTTTAATTTAATTGAAAAAAATTTAATTTAAAATAAGTGCATTAAATTAAATTAAATTAAAATATGTTTTCGGTTAAAATGTGATTATTGTAAAAAATAACTTTAAGAATAAACACATTTATTTGAAAATGAATGAAATTAAATCAACTGGAATTGAATACCCTGTGCGTAGAGTGTCAGCACGGCCTGTATGGCGACGTAGATACCGTGGAAGCGGTAAGTTTCGAACATGACCTCTGCGATCTTCTGCCGGTTCTTCATAGGGTTCATGGGCGGCTCCGTCAGCAGCACCTTGCAGTCGGGAGGGCTGATGTTGAGCCGCTGCGGACCGAAGGTGTGGTCCCACAGGTGGATCATGTCCTCCCAATTGCGCACCATCCCATTCTCCATCGGGTACGTCACCTCCAGCATGGAGCGGCACTCGCTGGCCTCATCACCCACCATCAGGTCCTGACATTTCACACAATGACTACATTTACATGGACATCAGTAATTGAATTATTTGCCTTAATCTGAATAAGACAATAATATGATTAGTGCTTGCATGAGTTACTTTTTGAATGTTCGTTCATGAGCCAGTTTCACATGTTATAGCTCGTAGATAGATTAACGTTGTTGCGTCACGGCACTATCCACATTTCCTCTGGAGTTTCATGTAATTTCAGGCGCTTCATTTAAAAAATGTTTACTTTAACTGCAGTTTGGCAGTCTCACTTTATTCAGGAACATTTCATTCATGCCCTGTGACACTGAGGTGTTGGATGCAAGTATTAAGTAAGGACTGGTGGAAGAGTGTTGTTGTGATGGAGTTGATGCAGTACGCTGTATGGACTGGAAAATTCTGCATTTCACAATGTGGATGTCTGTGGTCTTTCACTGACTTGATGTCAAATAGCCGTGTGTGTATGAACTATCCTGTCACCAAATGCAGCTAGAAGTCTTACATGATGGTAATAGTTTGAAGGTGTTTACATGTCTGTTCTGCACTCCAAAATTGCGACTAAAATCAGCATAGTCCACATGCCTTAATTCCATTTCTGTTTAGTTTGATTATGACTTTAGTCAGATTATGGTATGTTTATGTTTTAGACTCTTTATCAGAGCATTGTCTTCAGACTCAAACTAAACTTTATTATCCTGTTTAGGGAAACTAAAATTGCAGCAAGGTGCCGGAACACAGGTTTCATGTACACATTAACAAAATATTACCACACAACACACATCCTTTTTTAGGTGCATCTCCCTCCCCGCTGGACTCATTTAATGACCTATTGGCAGGGCCAGAGCAAGTTGAACTGCCGCTCCAGGCAGAGGATGATCATGCCGCCCAATGTGAAAACGAAAGTGACTGGTTATTAATATGAAGTTAGGTGTCGCGGACTTCTATTCTGCTGCCCAATGCGCGGATATTACTGAGGACGCAGGGGTGTCGCGCACCTCTGCCGCCCTATGCGCGGATATAACTGAGGACACACGGGTGCTGATGGAGGTGTCGCTGACGCCGCCATCTCTATTCTGTCACCTATGCGCGAATATATATCTGAGGGCGCAGGTGGTGAGGGAGGTGTCGCAGACATAACTGAGGATGTGGGTGGTAAGGGAGGTGTCGCGGACGCCGTCCTCTCTATACTGCCACCCTAGGCGGCCGCCTAGGTCACCTTTATGGATGCGCCGGCCCTACCTATTGGTCACCTTTATAAAAGCAATCTCTAACTCAATTTTCCTGCAAATAGGAACTCTAAAACAACGTCCTGATGGCAGCAGCTAAAATACAGGGTACAATGTGTGATCCTGGGTGCATAAGATACCCTGAGCTCTCTTTAAAACGTAATTACGGTAAATTACCATTGGACAAGTTTGGTTCAGACCAATGATCTTGCTTGCCACCTCCATAAGACTACTCAACCTGTTCTTATTTGCAGGGGCTTAGTGGACATTTTAAAAGTAGGGGGGACAGCTGTATTAAATCCAAAGGTTTACATTCCTAATCACTTGTTTCTAAATAGTCTGTCTCTAAAAGTGAGAAGTTGCTACATCCCTGCTTATTTGACACACTCAGATTACCTTACCAAGCTACAATGCAGAAAGACCATATCTTATTAAAATCGAAGTATTGGTGTCCATGCAACATACTCAATGAGTAAATAACTAGTGAACTAATAATGTTATCTAACCGGTTGTTATCGCAGAATGAAACCTAACAGGCTTAAGCAGGATATAAAGTCCAGCATTGTTGTATAAAGCTGAGGGGTTTAGTCTGCAAAATAATCATCCTGGATGTACTTTATCCCACTTATTTCAAGGCTACTTGCTTTAAGACATAAAAAGATTAGACACAACATTGCCGTTAAGTTTAATTATCCTTCAATTAAATGCAAAGCTGACAGAAACGAAAACAGCTGATGGAGTATACACTAACCTGCGCATTATTCAGACACTAGATAGCGCCAAACAGACAAAAACACAAAGCTGACCTACATATTATTCATTCACAAGATGGCTCATTCTGATGGCTCAGTGGTGAGCACTGTTGCCTCACAGCAAGAAGGTTGCTGGTTCGAATCCAGACTGGGTCAGTTTGCATTTCTGTGTGGAGTTTGCATGTTCTCACCATGTTGGCGTGGGTTTCCTCCAGGTGCTCCAGGTGCTCCAAACACATGTGCTATAGGTGAATAACAAAAACTACATTGGCTGTAGTTTATGAGTGTGTGTGTGTGAATGAATTTGTATGGGTGGTTCCCAATGCTGGGTTGTGGTCGGGTGAAACATTGCTGGATAGGTTGGCGGTTTATTCCGCTGTGCAACCCTTTATAAATAAGATACTAAGGCTTAGGAAAATGAATGAAGATGGTACTAAGCGAGCGGATGCATATGAATGTGGATGTACATTTATGGATGTCATTGTATTCAAACATCATCAGTGTCAATGTCTGAAAGTTTCTCACACTTTCTTCCATGTCTACATGTATTTTATTTGTATGTCTGTGTGTTTGCCGGACTGACAGCTCACCTTGATTTCTATGCTCCCGACTTTAGTATCTGAGCGAATGATGGGTCGACCCACCAGCGCAGGGAAGATGTGATCGGGGAAATTGGAGCCTGCGAATCCACACTTGACGAACTGCAGACAAGATGTGAGAGAAGATGAGTGAAAAACAGTGAGTAAAAGCTGCAAACTCAACCCTGCTTGCTGGTACAGATATATATAAACCCACTAATTTGTACACAATTAACCCTCTCAGACTTAAATTGTGGGATTGTATACAGTTTAACCCAAAGAATGACCAGTCTGGTAGATGAAGAAGAGTCGGAGTCAGAGATTTAAATAAATAAATCAAGTTTACTGAAGATAGTTTGCAGTTACATCAACAGAAGCCAGCTTCAACACTCGCAATGAGTTCCTAGGCCGCTCTGCTTACAATCACCAATCAATAACAATTATACTCTCAAATAACGTCATTAACTGCGTCATACATATAGGTGCTCTAACCTGATTGGTTAAAACACAGATAGACTAGGAACATTTCCACGTGGGTTTTGTGCGTATATTCTGAACAATATCTAAACATAAATGTCAGACATCCTTTAGACTGATTAGAGCTGACTCCAGACCTGTGAAACAGATCAACAATCAAATAAAACACACACACTTAAAGTACAATCTGTTTCTTATCCAAGGCTGAGTGTACTCTCAGCCGTCTTTATCAAAACTGGTTAAAAACCGGTATAATCTACATTCAGGCAGTTTTATCCTTACTACACAAAGTCTATCTTGAAAAAAAAGTAGAATCACTTTAAAAGATTTAATCGAGAAAATAGCAAAATCACTTTAGACCAGTAGTCACCAAACTTGTTCCTGGAGGGCCGGTGTCCAGCTGAGTTTAGCTCCAACCCTAATCAAACACACCTGAACAAGCTAATCAAGGTCTTACTAGGTATACTTGAAACATCCAGGCAGGTGTGTTAAGGCAAGTTGGAGCTAAACCCTGCAGGGACACCGGCCCTCCAGGACCATGATTGGTGACCCCTGCTTTAGACATGTTAGACAATATTAACTCGTCGAAATAACAATAGAAGCGGTTGCTTCCAGTCCTCAGCCCTCAGTTCCACTCAAGGTCTCCGTGACCTCTGACCTAGATTGGTGGCTTCTGAAAATAGTTATAAAGAGACGGGCAAATGCACTGAACATTCTCATATTAAGCAATGTGTTAACTTATTCATTAATTAAAATCAATTCACGGTTAAATACTGAGGAACAGGATGATGAAAAGGATAAACGTTGGTTCATGATGAGACGGATTGGAAAGCAGAAATCCGAATCCTTTATTAGAAACAGGAAAAATCTGATATTTGGGGAAAATTATCATATGGAGTAGTACAATAGAATCCTGAATTTTTTTTTTAGAGAGACCTTCACATGCAAGGCGTTCTGGGATGTTGCAGATTTGCAACATTGGCTCAGTGTGGTAATTAGACACTGACGACTGAATATGATATGAACAATAACTTTTTATATACAACTTTTCAAATAATGTAACAAATTGCTTTTCAGTGGCAGAACAACAACAAAAACAACATGGGATCCAAATCCAATATCGCAAACCCTCATTGAATAGGTCATGTTTCCAAGTCACTTTGTTGTACTCCAAGAAGCAGTTTTTTGTCTTTTGCAAATAGTTTTTTTGTCTTTTGTAACTGTTCGTTGCTAATGGACAACCAAGTCCTGCAGTGGTACTTCTGAGAAAAATAAAACTCATAAAATATGTATCTGGAGTAATAAGGTTGTTCATTTTTAACTGTTGCAAATCAACAGGTTAATTCAAGTCAGAATAATTCGCCACCCTGTTTATTTTTTTCCCCAATTTCTGTTTGACGGAGAACAGATTGCTTCATCACATTTCCAAACATAATAGTTTTAATAACTCATCTCTAATAACTGATTTATTTTATCTTTACCATGATGACAGTCAATAATATTTGACAGTGTATTATTTTTTACAGTGTAACTACAGCTACAACCGCTGAATTCTTGACTTTTAAGCACTTATAAAGACTATATTTATTATATAGTGTTATCAATAATAAAAAAATATATATTATCAGACATACTGTGAAAATTTCCTTGCTCCATTAAACATCATTTGGGAAATATTAGAAAAAACAAAATCAGAGTGGGGCTAATCTGACTTCAACTATATATATATATATATATATATATATATATATATATATATATATATATATATATATATATATATATATATATATATACACACACACAGTTGAAGTCAGAATTATTAGCCCCCCTGAATTATTAGCGCCCCTGTTTATTTTTTCCCCAATTTCTGTTTAATGGAGGGAAGATTGTTTCAACACATTTCTAATCATAATAGTTTTAATAATTCATCTCTAATAACTGATTTATTTTATCTTTGCCATGATGACAGTCAATAATATTTGACTAAATATTTTTCAAGACACTTCTATACAGCCTAAAGTGACATTTAAAGGCTTAACTAGGTTAATTAGCAGTAGTAGTAGCAGTAGACGTTGTTGTATTAGTTGTAGCAAACGCTATAGTAGTATCAGTAGTGGTAGTCGTTGTAGTAGTATCAGTATTAGTAGACATTGTAGTAGTAGTAGTCGTGGTTGTGGCTGTAGTAGAAGCAGTAGTAGTTGTAATATAAGTAACTTTCTGTAGTTGTAGTTGGTGTAGCAATTGTGATTTATTAATATTGTTGTCAGTTATTACTGTTGTCCTTTCTCTCTTTTTACTCTCATTTTTACTATCATACATTAATAAGCATTGTTGTTACTCCCTACCTCTGACTGGTTTCTTTCTATATGTTTTATCTGTATCTGTGACACTTGCTTCATTTATTGACTGTTATTGTTCCTTATGTATGTACCCTGACCTGTCCACCAAGTTACCTTTACATGCATACACACACACACACGCACACACTCACGCACATACCAGTATATGACTATATTGTTGTTGTTTTTGTTTTGTTTTTGTTTCGTTGCTTTGTATTTGTTATTTGTTGACGTTTTCTTGTATTTGTATGATTTTTGCATATTCTAATAATAAAAAAAAAACTAGGTTAATTAGGTTAACTAGGCAGGTTAGGGTAATTAATTAGGCAAGTTATTGTATAATGATAGTTTGTTCTGTAAACTATCAGAAAAAATATACTTAAAGGGGCTAATAATTTAGACCCTAAAATGGTGTTTAAAAAATTAAAAACTGCTTTTATTCTAGCCGAAATAAAACAAATAAAACTTTGAAATAAAAGAAATAAGACTTTCTCCAGAAGAAAAAATATTATCAGACATACTGTGAAAATTTCCTTGCTCTGTTCAACATCATTTGGGAAATATTTAAAAAAGACAAAAAAAATATGGGGGATAATAATGTAACTATATACTCATCATCTTATAATCCTACTGTGCTGATCTACTCTACTCTTCCATTGTCTTCTGTTTTGTGGTTCTGTTTTGCTGCTTCCTTAAACTCCCTCTAAACCTCCTCAGTTCCTCTAAAGCTTCAGCTCAGGAGCATCTAAACGTGTCCACACACTCACACACACACACACACACACACACACACACACACACACTGCAAGCAAACTTTAAAACACTTCCTCGTTTATGTCCAATAACAGTGGATGTTTTCTCCTGCCACCTTTTAAGGTGAAGTGAGCCGCATTTCTGTCCAGACGTGTTCAGACAGAGTTGAGCAATGCAGCAGGTCTGAGCTGGAGAAAACACCACACGTTCAGCACTCAATACACCCGCAATACAATCAGGAAAGCTATCTGTATTTCCCTAAATACAGCATACATATATTTATATCACATAATCAAATCACAATACCCTCTGAAAATCTATACCTTTACTCACGTTACACCCTGCTTTCAAAGAAAGGTTAAGAAATGGCTACAAACATCCTTTCAAGAGCTGGAAAAGTGGTTTGGAATGTGATTTAATTTCAGGCTATATGACAAATAAATTATTTCAAAGGGGTTTGATGTTTTTCTATAGGCGCTGTACATACATATATATATATATATATATATATATGTACGTTTACATGCATTTCTTAATGCAGAGTTTCCTCCCTGCTTCATTTGAACACAAATTGACTCTGAAAAATGTTTACTTTTGATCGTGTTTGACTTGTTTACACCACTCAGAATTGGGTACAATATGGACAACCCCAAACACTGGGTTACATTTGTTTATGCATTACATTTGTAATCATATTTTCTCAGTTTTAAGTTGAAATAACAGCATTTTTCTTAGAAGTTCAGCACTGTGCATCATTTAGAGGTCAGCGATGTTCTCTGGAAGGAGTAGTTAAAGTCAAGCCTGAAGTTATTCACACCGCTGGCAAACTCTGACTTAAAGTTTTTCTTTAAATGTAAATAAAAGCTGAGAAATCCTTTTTTATTCCACAATGATGCCTCTGGTACATCATCTTATTATCTTTTTGGAGGAATTTGTGTCATTTCTCATCCCAAAAACACAACTTGTTGATTAAATAAACCTAACTTTAAGTCAGCATCTGCTAAGAGTATTATTCATTCGAAGCTTGGCTGTCTATTATAGTAAATATATACGGTAAATCTCTTACCCCAGTGCCATTGTCGCAGACGATGACTTTCCTCCCTGCGCTGTCCATGATGGGCAACTCTCAGAAACACAGATACGACTGACACACGCACACACACGCTCAGAGAGAGAGAGAGAGACTCCACCTTACAGTCCCACAGATACAGTGAGCACACCCTGCTTTCAACATCCACATTCTTTAAATCCATTTCTCTGTGAATATAGACAGTATACAGCCATGTGCAAAAGTTTGGACACCCTATGAAATTCCTATTTTTTGCTTATCCGTACACTAAAAGAGATCTGATCTTTGGCAGGTCTTCCTATCATGCAAAATCAACCTTTAGAAGCTGTTTGAATTGCATTTTACACTCACAGGTAGGGCCTGTTCACTAATGTTGGGGAAAGTTACTACTGAAAGCAATGCATTGCAATATTGATTTACTCCCCAAAAAGTAACTAGTTGCGCTACACTTTGGTGGCACTTTATAATAACTACACACTATGAATCATTGATTTGGGTGTGATGTTGGACAATAAACTACAGTGGGATGTATGGACTGACTGTGTAAAGAAAAGGCTTCAGCAGAGAATGTCCTTCTTAAAGAAATGACTGTCTTTTAATGTTGGCAACACATTGTTGATCATGTTTTATAGTGCTTTTATTGAAAGTATTGCAATATTTTGTGTGATCTGTTGGTAAGGAAATGCTTTTGAGGCCCAGAAGTGGTCGCTGGGGAAGGTGCTAACGACAGCCTGTAAGTTGTTGTGAATGAAACTAAACATTGATAGGAAAGAAAGGGTGCGAAATAAGGCTATCACGATTGTCAATGATGAGAGACATCCTTTATCATACACCTTCATATTGTTACCTTCAGGTCGTCGATATTGTGTTCCCAGATGTGCAAGAAATAAGAAAAAATATCATTATACCTTAAGCAATTTTTTCTTTATTTTTTTATTTTACAGGGACAATACACTTGACATTGCTATACAAAGATAACCGATGTTGTGTACATAGGGCATATAGCATAAAGCTAATTTGCAGCCCTCGTCCCTGGTTAGGCTTTACATAAAAAAAATAAATAAATAAAAATAAAATAAAAAAAACTGTCAAGAATAAAACACAATACAGCAAACATGTACAATATATACAGAGCCATGAACATAAGATGCAAGTCAATATGGATAAAGAGAAATGTAAATGGGACCAACCGGAAAGAATAATGCTTAATGCTCACGTTGCTGTAAAGATTTCAACCATTCTTTCAGCTTTACAGAAAAAACTCGGAGTTCTGATTGTAACTTTAAATGATCAGGCATGGCATTTAAGATATTTAAATCCCCCCTCCCTCAGTTTATGGCTATATTTATTTAGAGTGGGGGTTCTATGTTTTGAAATTATTCCATTTCATTTATGTGTGTGTATGTATGTGTGTGTGTGTGTGTGTGTATATTCAACTGTGTGTATATATATATATATATATATATATATATATATATATATATATATATATATATATATATATATATATATATATATATATATATATATATATACAGTTGAAGTCAGAATTATTAGCCCCCTTTTGATTTTTTTTTTCTTTTTTAAATATTTCACAAATGATGTTTAACAGATTCAGGAAATGTTCACAGTATGTCTGATAATATTCTTTCTTCTGGAGAAAGTCTTATTAGTTAAATTATTTCAGCTAGAATAAAAGCAGTTTTTAATTTTTTAAACACCATTTTTGGGACAAAATTATTAGCCCCTTCATGCTCATTTTTTTCCAGATCAGTCTACAGAACAAACCATCGTTATACAATAACTTGCCTAATTACCCTAACCTGCCTAGTTAACCTAATTAACCTAGTTAAGCCTTTAAATGTCACTTTAAGCTGTATAGAAGTGTTTTGAAAAATATCTAGTCAAATATTATTACTGTCATCATGGTAAAGATAAAATCAGTTATTAGAGATGAATTATAAACATAAAACTATTATGTTTGTGTTAAAACAATCTTCCCTCCATTAAACAGAAATTGGGGAAAAAATAAACAGGGGGGCTAATAATTCTGACTTCAACTGTATATATATATATATATATATATATATAGTTGAAGTCATATTAGTCCACCTCTGATTTTTTTTTTTTTTTTTCCCAAATGATGTTTAATGGAGCAAGGAAATTTTCACAGTATGTCTGATAATATATATATTTTTATTATTGGTAACACTATATAATAAATATAGTCAGTCATTACGCATGTGCTTAAAAGTCAAGAATTCAGCGGTTGTAGCTGTAGTTACTCTGTAAAAAGTGATTAGTTCATTAAAAATCTTATATATCTGCTCTTCCAGACTCCAGTGTGTCTTATAAATTCAATGCAAGCTATAACTGTTGATTTTATTGAATTAATGAAGCACCAAATAAGTAATATTGTAATAACTACAAAAAAGTGAACAATTTGCATAATTATAAAAATTAAGTCAACTTAAAAGTTACAAGATGCAATGGGTTTACTTACATTATTTTTGTAAAGACAACTTGTTGCTTTTAAGGTCATTGGTTTACCCGCTTTAAGTAACTAATCACTTTTTAAAGTGTACTAATATCTACTAATGTAGAGTTAAGGTTTAACAAACATAAAAAATGTAAAGGCTTAGCTAGATTAATTAGGTTAACTAGACAGGTAAGGGTATAACAATGGTTTGTTCTGTAGACTATTGAAAAAAATATATACTGTAGCTTAAAGGGGCTAATAATTTTGACCTTAAAATGGTGTTTAAAAAATTAAAAGCTGAAATAAAAGAAATAAGACTTTCTCCAGAAGAAAAACTATTATCAGACATACTGTAAAAATTTCCTTGCTCCGTTAAACATCATTTGGGAAATATTCAAAAAAGAATAAATAATCAGAGGGGGCTAATAATTCTGACTGCAACAGTATGCATGTATAGCGCTCAAGAAAACACGCAGCTTTATTCTTTTAAGCAAGGGATTATTATGCGGTCCAGGCGCATCTTGTGAATAGACAACGTCAATCATCTTTGACAAATGGACACCGACGCACTGTCTCTCAAAAATGATAATTTTTAAAAAATAGGCACTGTCCTCATAAATAAACTGCATAGTTGCAGTCTAAACAACTACATTCTCGACTAAAGTAGCATCAAAAGTACATGATAGTCTCTAACAGCAGTAATATTTGTCAAACTGTAGAGTGTCCTCTGCTTGTATGTGGGCGGAGTAATACACAAAGGTGAAGAGGCCTTTGTGTGCTGTTACTGGCAAAATATCTCACGGCGATCAGCCAATCAGATTCAAGAACCAGACAGAACTGTAGTATAAATATATATTCATAATATTGTACTTCCATTCTACATTTTTATTACAGTGTTAATAAAGCCTGCATGATAACAGAATCCAAAACACTTCTCTTTGCTTCAAAAATAATTTCATTTATTTGAAAATCACATTGAAAACAAGACAGTACAGTTCTTCATGTGACAATGGTGAGCAATATGGGTGTGAAAATGACAAATTCTAGACGTTTCCATGTCGTCCTCAAAGTGTAGGCACATAAAAATGACTTCAGACTGGAGTAGCTGAAATATACAGAAAGATGTGTCTCTTTTGGAAAACATTAGTGTGTTGAGGAAACCTGTTCGATAACAGTGTGTGGTGGCGCAGAAATTATGGTATTTTTCCAGATAAGCAGCATTAATATCCCATAACATGTCATTTAAAGAGAAAAAATGGAAATTTCCTCATTCACATTCAAGTGGCTCTAAACTTTTCTTTTTTCTTTTGAGCACAAAACTAAATATTCTGAAGAATGAAAAAGCAACAATTGACATCCATAGTAGGAACAAAAAAATACTATGAAAGTCAATGACTTTTGTTTTTGTTTCTTTCAACCTTTCTTCAGTATATCATCCTTAAGAAAGCCAAACAGGGTTTTCAACAATTTTCATTTTTGGGTGAACTGCCCCTTTAATTTATGTTCATCCAGACCACATCTGTGTATTCCAGTGGGAGGCGGAAACATATCAACACAAACGACAAATAAAAATAAACAAATAACAGACTTAATCGCTTGATCTACGCTCTATTCTCATGAAAACCAACAGCAGCAAGTTACATCTAGCCTCTGTTTCCAACACGTCCCTTTTTAAGCATGCAAACCGGAGCGTTCCTCTGCTTCTGGCAGATGTGCATAGTGCTACAAATGGCCTTGCATACAAAATTTGCATAATGCGTCCTGGATTATGATATGCTTGTGCCACCTGAGTATTAATGTGATAAAAACAGCCAGTAGCTATGTTTCCATCCTAAGAGGTGAATAAGATTTATACGCAAAACTGTAATATCGCATAAAACATTTGCGAATAAAACAGCGTTTCTTCTAATGAGTCAAAGACAACAAAATCGTCACTTCCTGATAAACTGGTAACAAATATCAGACAGAATAATGTAGCTTTGTGCATTAGGAGAAGCCAACCGTGGGCTTTTTTCTTCTCTAATAAATGAGTGGAGCCTCAGAAGATGAAGATGAAGGCATGATGAATGCAATGATGTGGCTTTTGGAGGCTTGAGATGCTCTTTGGGAGCACAGACAGATGCTCAAGACAGTTCTGGAGGGAATAATAACAAAATAATAATAATAATACTGAACCACTGTGATGATGGACTTTGGCTGAGGGATTTCAGGAAGACCATGCTGGAATTTACATCTTTCCATCAAAGGTTATGCACATTTTATCCTATTGGATATAAAGTTGATCCTACTCAAGTTTTTACAAAATTGATGCGCATCTTGGCGTTTCCATTAAAGAGCCCCTATTATGGGTTTTTGATAATGAACTTCTGTGCAGTGTGTAACACAGCTCTAAGTAAAACTACAGATTTTTTTAACGAAATAGTCGAATGAATGAATCGAGTTGGGTTTGGATGTTTTGCTTGAATGCGTCGTCGTTGATACGGTACATCACCAAATATGTAGTACAGGTTCCAGTAAAACGTGAACGCGCCTTTCCCTTCTGACACTAACGGAGCGATAAGTATCACGCGACTGATCATGACAAGAAGATGACGATCACTGACAGATGGAGATTCGGTTGCAGGGAAGGGTTAAAATCCGTTTTCACTACAGTACAACAGTATAGCCAACCATGTGCTGTGTTTGCTCCTGTCATTTTTCTGATGACTGATACAATAACCTACGCTGCAACGTGGGATTCGCCTGCCGTTTGCTATTAAAGGAAAGATCAGCAACAGTAACTGTTGCACTTCATATGGAAAATAGATGCACGAACATTTTGAGTTTGCTCGCTTCATTTGCGCATCGAATCTGCTTCATATCAAATTCACTGAACAATAGATGCGGACCTGGGCACTCTCTCGAGTGACACTAGCATTGTTGCTAAATGGCAAACATGGATTTTATTGAGAAAATAACAGTGTTTATGTGCTTTATGAGGACTGAAAAACATTGTTGATTTGTTTGGAACCGTGTCCGAGTTCACTAGATCCTTTCAGAGGTGCACCCAGCTCTATGAGCTTACAAACTTCTTCAGAAACTTAACCTGGATGATGGAAGCTTTCAGCAGTGCTTTTGACTGAGCAGAGCCCAGTTCGATCAACTGTTGGCTGGTGTCGGCTAGAGGATTTCCCCTGGGACACTGTCTCTATTCGCGCCTTTGCATTAACTTAACATGTAAATCACTCACGCTTGACGCTTCTTCCATGTCTGGTATGAACGCAGCATTACAGAGCAGTGCATGTACTGTATCTCTCAAGTAAAATCTTTATGGGGCTGTTCACATATTGCGTCCAAATCCACGTTGAAAGCACAACGCATGCTTTTTTCCTGAACTTGTGATCTTCTGCTGGTTGTCTTTACTATGGCCACCGTCAGCTGTTCCTACACATGCGGTGAGGTTTTCAAAACAGTTCAACTTTTGCCACTATGAGGATTAATACTGAATCTGTGTTGTGTCTGACTTGGGGTCAGGGTTAAGAGTAGAGTATATGCTGCTGTTTGACTGCATTGCTTTATTGCATTCCTGCATTGGGCTCACACATACTCTGAGTGCTACGCCATAGATGGATGTTTCTCTCTGTCTCGCACTGAACCAAGTCAACCAATCGCAATAGACCCAATAGGGTCATTGGCCTAATCACCGCAGATCAGCATCGTACTAAGGAGGGGTTTGGGAGCTAATGAATTGCTGAACGATTCATATGGGAGTCGCTGGGCTAATTAGTTAAAAATAAATGCATATTATATGAGAATTAACGTGTTTTTTGACCTTGCATGCAAATCAGACTGTTGTTGGAGACTCCCTAAACCGAAATATAACCTTTTATAATACAAATAGAGAAGTATTTTACGCTGATGGAAACATAGCTAGTGAATCTGAGGAGATTTCTTTGGCACGTGAGGTCCAGTCTGGTCACTTTCAAGTGCACGTTTCAGTCTTGCAATGAAAACTCCTCTCCTGAATGAGTTTTTCCAGCAGTCCGCCAGCTGATTTCTCAGTCTGTGCTGTAAGTGCATCATCAGTAAGCGTCTGTGCGCCTGTGTTCACGACTCAAACTCGCTGTCGCTGCTGACCGAGATGTCCGGCGTGGAAGCTCCGGTCCCCCGAGGGCCTGAGCTGCAGTCGCTGTTCCCCGGGCTGTCAGGGTGGCGGGGGGATGAGCCTCGCAGGAGTGGGTTGTGCTCCGATGATGAACATTCAGGAGAACTTCCAGACGGCAGGAGAGAGGAATCCTGCTGTAGTCTGAGGGGGAAACATAGATAGAAGAACCGTCATTATGTGCTTCAGATACATTTGAAGTCAGTTTTTTTAGTATGTTAGTATCAGTGTTGCTGGTTTTTTAGGATATCTATAAGCTAGTATGCTCCAAAACAGTGACAAATTTACATTCAGAAGATATAAACCTGATATAAACATGTAAAGCTTGTAGTTTGTCACTTCCACCTAAATGGGTCAACAGTTTATTCACGTCACCTCATACTTCAGTCACCCATCAAATCTTCTGTCCAATCAAATGCTCTCTAGTGTCTGACATGCCCCGCCCCCTTTATGACGCTGATGCGCTCAAGCTCAACCACTCTCACTGGCAGAGCGGTCATAAAACTAAATGCTATTGGCTGTTTTTTTTTAGGGGGAGGAGCCACTCTATGCCCTGCCTGCCCTTTCTTCATGTTTCGGTTGAGATTACATCGGACACTGAATAAAACAATGCACATTTCAAAGCACTTTATGTGACCTTTAAAAGAAACACTCCACCTTTTTTGGAAACAGACTCATTTTACATGTTAAACAGTACCCTTCTTTAATTCATTCAGCCATGTTCAATTTCAAAAAAGAGTTTTGATGATTTCAACATTTAACACTGTAATGAGAGTGTAGTTTCTAGACCAGGGGTCACCAACCTTTTTGAAACTGAGAGCTACTTCTTGGGTACCAATTATTGTGAAGGGCTACCAGTTTCATACACACTTCTTCGCTTTGGATAAAAGCGTCAGCTAAATTACTAAATGTTCTTAAATAACAATTTTTCTCAATTTACTTTTAATTATTTGTTGTTATTAATGATCAATGATATTCATCTATGTGAAGAGACACTGATCATGTTAATGATTTCTCACAATAGTTCTCAACAATGATTTAACAAGGTAAGAAACAGAAATATCAATATGCAACACTTTATTTGTCTGAAATTGTTTTAGTTTTTTTTATATATACACCTTAATGTCATTAACAAATTTTACACCAATGCAGGTGTGATTTAAAAAGAATAGCTTCAAAAAATACTAGATTCAGCCTACTGGTATGTGGTGCAATGGTGAGCTATTTTTAGAACAGGCCTGTGGGCAACTCATGTAATCCTCGTGGGCTACCATGTTGGTGACCCCTGTTCTAGACATATCAACCTAGGAAATAGTGTCTAAACTTTTACTTTTTCTGCTGGTCTTAGTACATGATGTAACAACAGAACAATCAAGCTTTAAATAGTAAAACTATCAAAACTCTTTGGTCATTTTTTAGTAAGATGCTTAATGGTCTAATCCGATTCAATGATCTATGCTAAGCTAAGCTAAAAGTGCTCCCACCAGACCTGGAGATGGGCTGAATGCTGAATGGATTCAGAAATTGTAAAACTCAATTCAATTCAATTCAATTCAGCTTTATTTTTATAGTGCTTTTACAATGTAGATTGTGTCAAAGCAGCTTCACATAAATGGTCATAGTAACTGAAACAGTGTGGTTCAGGTTTTAGTGTTTAAGTTCAGTTCAGTTCAGTTTAGCTCAGTTCAGTGTGATTTAATCATTACTGAGAGTTCAAACACTGAAGAGCAAATTCATCGATGCGTAGCTCTACCAATCCTTAACCATGCGAGGCAGTGGCGACAGCGGAGAGGGAAAAAAAACTTCACCTGATGGGAGTGAAGAAAAAAAACCTTGAGAGAACCAGACTCAGTTGGGCACGACCATTTTAATTTCTCCGCTGGCCAAAAGTCTTGTGCAGAGCTTCATTCGCCGTGGTTTAGGCTGGAACACCACGGCTGGAAAACTCAACTGTCTAACTCTGAGAGAGTTGTAAAATGAGCCTTTTTCCAAAGAAGTGGAGTGTTCTTTTAAAGTCTAGCCATTTTTAGGTACCTGTTTTTGGCAGAAGCTGCTCTGTCCCGCTGTCTCCTGTTCTTGAACCAGTTGCCCACCTGTGTGGGAGTGAGACCAGTGGCCTGAGCCAAATGACGCTTTCTGGACGGGTTTGGATAAGGGTCCTGCAGGTACCATTCCCTCAGCAGACTGCGGGTTCTCTCCTGAAAACACCAAAACAACACCAATCTCTATTACACTGTTTGTTCAAACGACTTATTTAAAATTAGCACAATTCTTAAGATTTTTTGGGACAACTTAATTGTTTGATTCGATCCACTTACATTAGCAACTTAATTGATTTGTGTTTGGACAGTTTCAGGCTGCTGAAATATAATTCCCTAAACTGGCATTTTGTAGGTTAAAAGAACCAAAAAGACAGACAATCCGATCATTCTCCAGTCCTCTGTTGGCCGCACCCATACATACGTCCTCTTTCTATTAATTCTCTGCTCAGCGTTAAAAGCATGAGACTTTCTCAACTGCACATATTCGGTGTTCATTTTCAACCCATCTCTGCTCACAGGAAGTTTAGCTGCAAAGTGAATTTTAGACAATCAGGCCTTTGCATTTCTATCAGCTTCATCTACTTCTGCAAAAATGCTTCATTAGTATGCAAGGCATATCACACTCAAGAGAAGAAGTTTGGTTAATATCACCTTAAGCAATACAAATACAATTGTTTCTAACATTTCTTATCCTCTTAAGGCCCAAGGTGTTTTTTTACATGCATTTATTATTTCTCTTTGCTATTTGGGCTCATTGGAACCTAATTAGAATAAAAATCTAAGTATCTTCTTTTGATATGATGTACTTTTAGAGAAAAATGATGTCCATATATGTGGACTCGTGGTCTTAATTTACATAAAACACTTCTTCCCGATTTTTTTTTAATGCATATTTAACATAGATTTTTTTTGGAACTTGCTTTGACTATCAGAGTGTAAAAACTAAATTTTTTTCCCATTTTGGACAATTGAAAAATCGGTTTTGGGACATTTCATATGCTGCAGAACAGTTGACACTGTACGTCTGTAACAAAATATAAAACATTCAAAGTATTTTAAATAGATCCTTTAGAGCTAAAATGTGCTGTCCACGTATGTGGACACTCAGGCCCTAGGACACAGGTGTCAAACGCAGTTCCAAAAGGGCCGCAGCTCTGCACAGTTTAGTTCAATCCTAATTAAACACACCTGATCAAACTAATTGAGTCCTTCAGGCTTGTTTGAAACCTACAGGTAAGTGTGTTGGAGCAGGGTTGGAACTAAACTGTTCAGGGCTTCGGCCCTCCAGGAATTAAGTTTGACACCTCTGCCCTAGGAGGTTAAATATCTGCATACATATTATGGTATTTTTATGCTTTAGAACAGTGGTTCTTAAACTGGTACGCGGACTGCCTTCTAGTGGTACGCAGAGTAATCCAATAGTCATTTGTACATGCAACATATATTTAAAAATGATCAAAAATGGTACATATGACATATAGCCTATATTTATGAGGTCCAAGATGCATTTTTTAGGCTTTGATGAATGGGATACTATAGGTTTACACTTTACATTTAAGTACAGGAGATTATTTTTCTACTTTTTAATAACTGTAGCCGACCATTTTTCATGAACTTTTAAAAGCACATTTTAATTGAAACGTTGACATTTTATTTTGTTTGTTTGTTTTTTACATATAAGCACAGCAGTGTTAATGTTCAAACTATTTATAAGGTTTAAAGTGGCCGATAATAATGAAAATTATTAATAATAGTAATTAAAATGCCACGTTTTTAAACTGTGCAGAGCTGTAGCTGCCTAATTAGGCCTACTATGCTACTGTAGTTCAATACTGGTCATACTGTGGTACTTGGAGGGACAATTTTTTCTGAGGTGGTACTTGATGAAAAAAGTTTAAGAACCACTGATTTAGAAAATTCATAAAGTTAGATGCAGCACCTTTAAGTAAAATACACTAATGTATTTTTGTCAAAACCTGATTAACTGATTAAAATGAAAGCATCAAAAAAATTCTGTCATGACTTTTTGTCATTTCATTTTTACAGCGAGTCTTCACTGTATTTTTGGATCAGTTTAATGAATTAAAGTAAACCCTTCTGAAAAATTCGACAATTTCTTTTGGTCTGGTTTATATCTTACTGCACATTTTCAGAACTACAACAGCCTAAATATGTCGTTGTTACAAGTTAAAAACAACGACTCAAGAAGGATTTTAGCATTATCTGTATGTTGCTGCTCAAATCAATCGTCTCATGACAATACGAAATAAATGTAAAACCTAAATAGAGAGAGTAACGTCTAAATAAACGTTATTTATTGCACAGAAATCCATGATATAGCACTGACTTATTGCTATATGGAGTTGTACGCTTGATATGTCCATGGCGATGACCTTGAAAGCACAAGTTAAGAAGGACAGGATCTGTTATGAGGCTTAACGCAGGGCTTCAGAAGTCAATCCTGGTCTGTGTGTTAAGGCACTGGCGATCGTATGCCTACTTTACCGCTGACCGTCTCATCTCGTTTACAGTCTGCTACAGTAATCTGGCTGCTCAGTGATTAAGCTTCATTTCCTGTGCCAGTAACTACTGTAAAGTGACCCGGCAGCTGTCAAGTACAATGAGAAAAAGTCGATTGTTGACTTCATAATGTTTATAAATAAATAATTGTATTATGGAGGCGGCACGGTGGCTCAGTGCGGGGTTTCCCCTGCAGTCCAAACACATGCACTATAGGTGAACTGAATAAACTAAATTGACCGTAGTGTATGTGTGTGAATGAGTGTGCATGGGAGTTTCCCAGCATCCACTGTGTAAAACGTATGCTGGATAAATTGCTGGTTCATTCCGTTGTGGCGACTCCTGATAAATGTGTTGTTAGTTAATTGTAACTTATTAAACTAAGTTAATCCTGTTTTAACTTAATTTTATAAGTTATGCAAGCTGTTTTATTAAATGACTCATCAGGTTAATTTGATTCAGCTTAAAAATTTAAGGCAACCTGTTTTTTTACAGTGTATAGAATTAAGGGTCAGTTCACACAGAATTCATTTTACCCTTATAGTGCGCAACTATTCTGTTGTTTCTATTTGTAAACACACGCTGGACAGTCGAGTTTGACTGTTATGCCTGCATCTTAAGAAGTGCCCAATTTTTAGGACATCATGTCAAGTTGAAAGATCTTCAACTTTCACACGCAGTGCAGCTCATCACTCCCAGTACCAAAGCAGTGGACCAATCAGAAGAGCTTGGAGGCGGGGCAACCGCTGCAAGCTTTTGTTTGTAGTAGAAAGTTGGAATGACAACTGTTTTATTTACTGTTATATCACAGCAGAGGAGCCACTTATTGTGGCTTTGTCCAGAATATCCTGAGGTATATGATGTATTTTCAAGTATTTATCATAACACACTGTTTTCCTATTTCTAATGGGTTTGTTATTGTTGTTGTTACATCATGCTGCACTTTTTTTTTTTACAGACACTTTTTTTTTGTACAACAGAATTTTGCATTCTTAAACTCTAGTGTGATAGAAACTTTAACTGAAGCTGTCGGCATGGAAAACAAAATGGAACAGTTTGTAAAGTTCTAAAACGCTATTAAAAAACTTCACGAGACAGCAGAGATATTTGAAGTAAGGACGAAAAAAAACCATTTGTTTACTGTGAAAAGTGAACCATTACAGTAAAAAAAACCTTCAATTTATTTTATAATCAACAATGATTTATTTAACATTTCTCTTTATTATTTTTTATGAAAAATGTAAAAAAATGTGACTAAAATAAAAGGAAAATTTTGTACAAATCTTTATGAAACATGATCTTTATTTAATATGGTAATGTTTCTGGGCATGAAATAAAAATCAATCATTTTACACCGCACAATGCAAAGCATTCTTCAAAGTATCTTCTTTTGGGTTCAACAGAAAAAAGAAACTCAAACACAAAAAATACTGGTTGATGGTACTTATTACTTATAATATTTACATTCACACAGAGGCGGATTTAACCAATAAGCAAGGTAAGCAGCCGCTTAGTGCCACAGGAAATAAGTAGTCACGATCACCAGCGATCTAAACACCATAGATCGCTGGAAAACAGGAACAATCGCTAACGGACTACAGATCCACCATTTCATGGACTACAACTCCCTACATGCACTCCGCTCACACACACATGGTCCTGATCATGACTGACTGCACACACATGACTGACTGGACTATACACACTTTTTAAGCTGCACGCACAGACAACTTGGGACTGGGCCTTGCTATATTGTAATGTCTTCATGTCTGATTTTGGATAACCCTTTTTGAACCTGCTATGATCTCTGCCTGTATGACTATCCTGCTAAATAAATATCTAGAGGTATAAATTCTAAAAGTATAAATAAATGTAACCTATAAATTATATATAACATTGTTTTCTATCATATTTTGTATGGTAAGAGGCAAACAAATAAAAGTTTTATGCAATTAAATATTATTTAATAGTATGTAATTTTAATGTGATGTAATAATAATGTTTAAAATTAAAATATTATTGCATCTGCACAAATCTGTCCACCATCCCAATCGTGGAGCAGTCAAATTATATATATATATATATATATATATATATATATATATATATATATATATATATATATATATATATATATATATATATATATATATATTTTTTTTTTTTTTTATAGGCCGCAGGCCGAGTGCCTTAGTGCCCCCACCAGTGCTGATATACAGCTATATTGCACTGCTATGAGTGTGATATTGCGTTTATACAACAGTTTGACGGCATAATTGTGTATATAAAAACAAAATCAAACACGGAAAGTCTTAAAAGATCTACTTTCTTCCTGATTCAAATCATAAGCTGACAGTTAAACAGTTGAGCAAGCATCTTTTAAACTTTAGATCTGTAGTGTCTGCTTGTTGCTGGTTGTATGTGGGCAGAGTAATACACAAAGGGTAAAGAGGCTGTACGGGTGGTGATATTACTTAAAAATATCACGGCAATCAGCCAATCAGATTCGAGAACCAGACAGAACTGTTGTATATATGTATGTATATGTATATATATATATATATATGCAGGCACATGCACACATAGGGCTCAACCTGTGCACTGCACATGCCCTTTTTAGTCTTGGATAGAAAGTG